CTACACAATGCACTTTTAGATCTAAAAACGATAGCTATTCAGAGAAATTTTTCCCCAAAATCTACTCTTTTCTACACAGTGAAAAAAGAAATGGTGTAAAGTAGTTGCCACTGTTTTTGAAGTAGAGGTGAATTAAAATTATTTACAGTGCATGTAGTCACACTTTTTATTTTATTTTTTCACTGCATTAGATTTGTTTATTTATTTATTCATTTTTTGTGAGTTTGTTTATTTACAACACATATTTTCATTCGCAGTAGAATAAGTTTAATAGCTTCATCGCAAACACATTTCGTTTAAAAAAGCTCATTTTTAGTAGTACACCGAAGAGCCATTACATTATGACCACCCAGCTAATAACTTGTAGGACCACCTTTAGCCCTCAAAACTGCTAGCACCCGCCATGGCATTGATATCACAAGGTGCTGATAGGTAGTCTGAGGTATCTGGTACCAAGCGCTCACCAACTGGTTCTGCAATTCCCTCACATTGCGAGGGCGTTGCGTGGCAGCACGAATTTGGTTTTCCAAGTAGAACCACAAATGCTCTATTGGATTAAGGTCAAGTGAATTTGGGTGCCAAGATATGACTTGAAAGTCACTGGAATGTTCCTCGAACCAATCCATGACGATTCGACCCTTATGACATGGTGCATTATCCTGTTGGTAAACACCATCCCCCGCAGGAAAAACTGTTGCCATGAATGGGGGAACCTGGTCTGCAACTATGTTCAAGTAGCTTACAAACGTCAGGGATTGTTCTATGAGGATTATGGGTCCTAATGTGCCCCATGAAAACATTGCTCCTGGGCGAGAAACCATGAAAACCTTGGTGAGCATATTGTTATAGATGGAGAGTGGTCATAATGTAATGGCTCTTCGGTGTATATTCGCCTCAATTTCTTAAGCAATTGCTATTTATTCAATTTTTTTATAATCTTTTGCACAGTTATGTAGTTAAAAATGTATATATTCGGTATATAATCGCACTAATTTTTTTAAAAATTGTTATATTATCCTTTTTATATAATTTTCTGCATGATAACTACAGCTCAGCCCTTAAAAATGTATTTGTAACAGTTTTATAATTCAGTTACAAATACATTTTTAAGTTCTGAACTGTTGTTATCATGCCAAAAGTTATATAAAAGTGACAAAATAACAATTGTGAGAAAAAGTTAGTGCGAATATGTACCGAAAATTCTGATTGTTTTTTTTAGACAGAATGCTTTCACAATGAAGCTATTGAATTGATTCTAATGCGTATGAAAATAAGTGTTGTCAATAAGGAAATACACAAAAATTAATAAATAAATAAATAAAACTATAATACTGAAAAAGCAAATAAACAATTTGACTAAAGACACTGTAGAAAACTTACGATTATATCAACACCAAAAATGGTGTAAACTACTTTATACGAATTTTTTTACAGTGCCCCGGAAAAAAAGGACCATCCTAAATAACTTTTGATCTAATGATCAAATCTCGATCTGAATCTTAATGGTTCGAAGGGATGACCTCAAATATGCAAATTAAAATTAGTGCAGTCAATATTTTAAGTTACGGAATCAGACTCAAAAATGTACTTTCTCTGAATAAACATACCTTTTGTTTGACGGATACGGATTTCTGACTCCAAAATGTAGGGGTAACAGCAAACTGAGAAATATGGTCACCACAGTTTGGTTAGGTGAGCGATCCCAAAGTTAGGATCCTTTAATAATAATTTTACTCTTTGCGTATTTCGCCATATCTCGAGAACTTTTTAAGCGAATAGAAATTTTTTTTCACACAATTATAAAATTCGTTTATCTAAAGATAATTCCATTCGAAAATAAATTTTAATAAATGTTTATTATTTAATTTAATAGTAGTCGAAAAAATTCTGAATGGTAAGGTATAAAGTTTTTAAATCATATCATATAAAAGTATGCAAAAAGTATATAAAAGGTATGTAAAAAGTATGTTTTTAAAGTATGTAATTTTTCATAGCAAAATACAAAATTTGAGCGAAATCTGTTGAATAATTCTTGAGAAATCGATTTTTAAATACATGACATTTTAATGGTGTTTTCAAGGTGCTTTATGATCTGTCTAGCTCTAAGTTGATACATTTTGTCATCCATAAAAATGAAATGGCTACCAGTTGAGCCTCTTGACAGCCTTACACAGGGCTCTAAGTTCTCAATCCTATACCTCAATAAAAACAGAGTGCCTCCCTGAAAGACCTACAAGTCTATATAGCCATCCAAAATCACGCCATTTTGGACCATTATACTTCGAACTCCATATTATTCGTGATCGTAGTGATCCATTTGCATAATGTTGGAGGTATGATAGCATGTCCCTGTTTCTCTTCGTATGTGAAGATGTCGAGAATCATTACTTAGACTGAATCAGAACTCATTACTAAAGAGAACATCAGCCCATTGCCCTAGCGACCTAGGTAAATGTTGCCAAAACTCATTACTAAAGAGAAAATCAGCCCATTGCCCCAGTGACCTACGTAAGTGTTGCTAAAATTCATTACTAAACTCATTATTAAGGAGAACATCAGTCCATTGCTCCAGTGACCTAAGTTAATGTTGCTAAAACTCATTACTAAAGAGAACATCAGCCCATTGCCCCAGTGACCTAGATAAATGTTGCTAAAACTCATTACTAAACTCATTACTAAAGAGAACATCAGTCCATTGCTCCAGTGACCTAAGTTAATGTTGCTAAAATTCATTACTAAAGAGAATATCAGCCCATTGCCCCTGTGACCTAGGTAAATGTTGCTTGCACCATTTCAGGAGGGCTCTCTAGTGACTTAAAGTTTCGGAAAGGTATTTTGACGTCTCTAAAGTCTAGATTTGTAATCATAGTGCCCTATGTATGATAGTTTAGAGCCATTGTTGGTCTCCAGTTCATTTTTAAGGATAACAGCACGTGACCACGCAAACCTGTGCTGTCAAGACGTACCGTGAAATCGAAGGTATTCAGAGAATTGATAAGCCAGTCAATTCTCTACACCGGAATCTTACAGAGTAAGTAGTAGATGCTCTTGGATAAGCAATTGCTACTCGTCTTCCCACTTAGAGACATCTCAGAGTTAAAAACCATCTTAAAAGGAAGAGCAATTTTTTATTACCTTAAATCTTTAGATTTATTGTCCAACCTCAAATACAGCGTGAGAGTTCATTGTGATACCTAGATTACAGTCAAGGGGTGTCGTACGTTATTTTTAACTCTTCACAAGTATCCTTTTGCTACATAATTTTTAAACAATATTGCTGTGACACCCATTAACTTATATTGAATTTGTGCTTTTTCCTTCCTGTTAGCAATATTTTATCACACTTTGATTCATTTTCATATAAAGTTTCTCTTGACTTTGTTCCCTTTTTTTTAAGTCCTCAACGGAAATGCTTGCTCTTTAACCTTTGTACATGAGAGTATTTCAAAACTACATCATGTTTTAGAAAACAATGTTTTGTCAAGGGCTATGTGCATTTTGAACAGTTAAGGCAAACAATGTTGCCAAATCTTGGGAGCGAGGGGCCTGCATCTGCAAAATCTGTGGAGAATTCTGCAAAAATCGGTAATCTCGCACTTTCTTACCGTTGTTGGTTAGCTAAAACGGTAAGAGAAGATTTAGATTTAAATTCCGACCGGCCTGTATAGGGAGCAGGGAACTGTCCTTGCATCAGAAAGGTTCTGGGTTCGAATCCCGGGCAAGGCATGGATGTTCTTTCCTTCTCTGTACTATATGTCCTCACTGTGGGAGCGACGTTGGCCCACCTAATATGGTGCCCCTGAAAGAGAGTCCAACAAAATCGCCCTGTATATGCCTGAACTGACGAATGTTAACGCAGGTGGGCATTGGAAAAAAAAAGATTTAAATCATGCAATCCTTCATCAGTTTTTGACTGATAAATTGGGAAAACAGGATAACATGTCTTGCCACTCCGTATTTTAAGTTTAGGAGTTTTTTAGCAAGGAAATAAGAGTAAGTTGGAGCTTTAGTTTCTTCTTTTTTTCCCGAACTTAAATCAATGTAATTTTCTTCTTCCAAATCTGAACATTCAGTTCAAAGAATGCCATTTTTGGGTTCTATCGCAATCTATTTGCTAAAAGCAAGTTCATTATGCTAGTTCTAGTAATGCTGTAAAAATATGAAAAATGTAACCGAACGCTGAGTACTTTAGAGCGAAAAAGAGGTATCGCAATTTTTAAGGAATAAAATATTATCCCTAAAAGACTTGTCTCCTAGCTTTTTTGACACCCTCCTTGTAAGAAAAATTTTAATAACCTACTTCCTATGATAAAATAGTTGTAAAGAACTTACTCGCTTTACTATTTCACTTACCCTATAAAAATGGGGATATTTTATTTTATTTTATAACCGTCGTTTAACAGCGGGCCCAGTTTTTTAGGTTTACAACTACTAAAATTCAACTCCATAGCTTTGTAATTTTGAACTCACTTCAGAAGACAAGGGAACTCCTGGATCAAGTATTGGGCGAAATTTGCCTTCGTGGAGGACTTTTTGATGGAACTAACCCGCGTTTGCGTTACATTGAGAGGAAAACCATGAAAACTACCCACGGTTAGCCTCACGGCAAGCTGACTCTAACCCATGATCCGTCTACCACTGAGGATATTTTACGTCAGCACTGTGGTCGGTGCAAGCCGAATGCGGAGTTCGTATCGGAGATTCGAACCCGGTTCAACTCATAGGAAGGCGAACGCTCTATCCCCTGAGCTATCACGGCTCTAAAGGTGGAGTTAATCCAGAATAAAAACTTTAGACACCTTCTTTATTAAAATTTTAACCAACTTTCATCGAAAAAATAGTTTTAAGGAATTTACTCGCCTTACTATTTCACTTACCTCGTAAAGATGAGGCTAATCCAGAAGAAAAACTTTCGATATCTTCTTTATTAAAATTTCAATAACGTGCTTTCCTCGAAAAAATAGTTTTAAGGAACTTAATCGCCTTACCATTTTACTTACCCTGTAAAGATGAGGTTAATCCAGAATAAAATCCTTCCTTAGCATCTTGCCACATATGTCTAGCAGGGATAAATAAATCGCGTTTTTATAGATTATTCGATTTAGATATCATAAGCTTTGTTAAAAAAATTATTTGTCAAAATCATGTATTTTTTGTCAGCTCATAAAATGCTAAGCTAAATTACAATAAAAAACATTTTAGCTCTGAGGCATGGTGTGACTTAAGTCCGGAATGTAATCTGAACCTTTTAGACACGGAGAGAGAAAGTGTTGTTCGCCAGCCGCACAGATCTGGAAAGAAGCCAAATACTTTCTTGCAGGACGACCCCTCGATTTATTTGAGAGGAAACCTATTCATTTATCATAATTCTAAATAACGAAGAGCTTTAAAAATATTTTGCAAAGTTAGATTCCTTCATCACAAAGTGGATTTAGTTATAAATAAATAATAACAATCGATATTCGCCCTTCTTCGAATTTTGTCCGATACTTGAAATTAAATCTGACATTTAAAATAAAGGATTTTTCTTTATCTTCGACTATTTTGTAGATGAAAATTATATCTAATGGTTACACAGATAATTATCTTATAGTAATATATCTTATAGTCATATCTTATTGTAATATATCTTATAGTCATATTTTATAGTAATATACGATAATTATCTTACAGTAAATATAGTATTGATTTAATGAATTATAATAAAATATTACGAAATTAAATTTTCATGACTTTGTTGAAAGAAAGCATATTAGTTTATCATAATTCTAAATAAGGAAGAACTTTAAAAGTATTTACCGTAAAGTAAGAATCCTTCATTATAAAATAGATTTAATTTTTTTTTCTAATAACAACAATCGATATTTTGCAATTCTTCTTTAAATTTCTTCCGATCCATGTAATTTCATTAGGCAATTAAAATGAGAGATTTTTTTTTACGTTCGACAATTTTGTAAATGAAAATTACATCTTATGGTTGAATTGTATTAATATAATTATCTTATAGTAAATATACTAGTATTGATTTAATGAATTATAATAAAATAATAAGAAATTAAATTCCCACGACTTATTTGAATGAAAACCTATTAATTTATCATAATTCTATCTAAGGAAAAACCTCAAAAATATTTTTCATAAAGTCGGAATTCTTCAACTAACACAAAAAAATTTAAATTTAAGAAGAAAAAAAAAACGTAATCCTTTTTCGATTTTTTTGTCTGATTCGTAGAATTTTATTCGGCAATTAAAATGCGGAATTTTTCTTTACCCTCGCAAATTTTGTAAACGAAAATTATATTTAGCAGTTGCACTTTATGAGGATAATTATCTTATAGTAAAGATAATATTGATTCAATGTATTACAATAAAATATGCAAGTTGTTGTTTTTTGGCATGCCGTTTTACATTTCTTGTCAGTTGAAGTTCACAATTGAAATAAAATAAATATCACGAAATTAAAATAAAAAAAGAATTTTTGAAATTTTTCTTAAATTGCAGAATTAGATAAAAAAATTTTTTAAAAACAATAACAATCAATATTTGCAATTCTAGTCTTCATTACTTGATACGGGAAATTTTATTGAACAAGTGAAATAAGGGACATTTATTTTCTTTTGCTAATTTTGTAAACTAAAATTATATAGCTCTTTATTAGGAATATCTTATATTACGCATACATAATTTAATGAACTGCGATAAAACAATAAACAATCAAAATTTTTTTCTTTCTTGTCATCCAATATCATGTTCCTTGTCAGTTGATGCTCACAATTGAAATAAAATAAATCTTGCAAACATAAAATAAAAAAGGAGTTTTTTTATTTAAATTTTTCTTAAATTGTTGAATATGGCAAATAAAAATGATCAATTTCGTATAATTTTTCAACTGTAGTAGATTGAAAAAAATTATCTTCTTTTTTAACACCGAAAAAGAACTATTAATGCGTAAAATCTTCATGAAAAGTTTCAAAAAAAAAGATTTATTTTCTTCTCGAAAAGTAAACAATATTTTGAAAATTGGCTTTCATTTTTTTATTTATGATATTATGCAGCCTTGAGAAAAATTCTTTTTATGAAAACATTAGGACTTTCTTCTTTGCGCGTTCGCTTTCCACAAAGTGATGTAACTTCAACAGGATTCATTAATAAAAATGAAAACTGAAGCGTGGAATTGGAGAACCAAACTTTTCATCAAAATGGATACCTTGCAAATATTTAGATACTAATTATCCACTCTCTCTGGTCTTTGATTAACAGTGAAAAAAGTGGTTAAGTATTATAAAAAAAGTGAACAATTAAGTACTAAGTAAAAAATGAACGATTAAGTACTAAAGAAAAAATGAACGATTAAGTACTAAGAAAAAAAATTGAACAAAAAGTGAATGATTAAGTACTAAAAAAAATATCGAAAAATGCATGATTAAGTATGAAAAAAAGTTTAACGAAAAATGAATGAGTAAGTACCAAAGAAAAAAAGTGAGCGATTAAGTTCCAAAGAAAAAAATTGAACAAAAAGTGAATGATAAAGTACTAAAAAAAAATTAACGAAAAATGCGTGATTAAGTAGAAAAAAAATTGAACAAAAAATGAACGATTGAGTACCAAAGAAAAAAAGTGAAAGAGTAAGTGCTAAAAAAAATATTGCTGAATGTAAAAAAAATAAAAATTATTTAAATCGCTGAGAAATTTTTTAGCAACTTTAAAAACATGATTTTGAGATAATGGCGTATGGATAGTTGGAAGTTATCTTTACACTATCATACAGCATAACTTCATAGTTATTTATCGTATTGACATAATAATCTATAATCTAGAATAAATATACTTTCAAATTATGCAATAAAAACTGATTTTTTTCAATGCTTACGAAGTATTACCCTTTAAAATCGTTGTGTATAGTTCAGAAAGAAGAAACTATTGACTTTAAAAGTTTAGAAAGATAAAGAATGAACGATGATTATCAGATCAATTTTTACACAAAAACTTTAAGAAGAGTGAGAGAGAGAGAGAACTAATGTTATGTTGGCTGCCCATTCATAACAATTGAAAAAGCTTAATTTCAGAAAAAACGACTATCATCAACACTAAAACATGAAGAAACATGAAACAGCCATTAAAAAAAAATCATGAAAATTGTTAAAAGTGCCTGGAAATAAAACTTCTTATATTGTTGTTACACATGCAAGACATACATATATATATATTTTATATATATATATACAATATATATATGCGTGATTAAATCCTCGTTTTATTTTGAGATTAATTTTATTAATTTTTTTCATTTTTAGTTGTTAATCNAACTTTTACTTTTTAAAGTTTAATATATATATATTGTATAGATAATAGTTTTTTTTAACCAGAAATGTCATTACCACAGTACGGTAATTTTACCAGACTTTTTTTTTCTCCGTGTAGTTGTTAAGGATAACTACGTAGGCAAAATCATGATATGTAAACCCATTATAATAAAAAGAAATGAATGATGAACACATTGTGCCCGTTCTAAAAATCTGCATCTAATGCAAATATTAATTCTAATGTAAACGGAAATAATGTAGCTCATAAATTTTCTCCATGATAATCATTATACACCCCTCTGTTTCAACAATATACTAACACATTTAGTTTGATATTAATGCAAAGAGAATGAAAATGAGAAATAATATCACTTGCTTAAAATATTCGGAAAATACTTTTGATTTTAAATCATTTTCAATTAACTTATTTAAATAAGATGCAATTTTTTTTTTACTTTTAGCTTAATTTAGAAAGTTGGCCGTTAAAACAAAAACAATTTTAACAATTTCGAATAAATTCTCCTTTAATTTCACCCCAACATTGAATAATGATTTCAAAAATATTTTGATACATGCAGGAAAACATACTTGCAATACAAGGTGTTTCGTAATTATCACTCTTAATAGATATTTTTAGAATTACAATGAAAATTGAAGTAAAAGAATGTACACTTTAAGGGCTGCAAATAAATATTTAATTAAAGAAAACTCAAAAACGTTAAAAAAAAAATTTCAAGATTCACGAGGAGGAAGGTTGGACTAAAAATATTGAAATGTGTTTTATTGCCAGAAGAAAGGAGTTGGAAGAAAATTATTTTAAACATCTCGAGTCTGATCTTTCATTCAAATTGTTTTTGATGGTTTTTTTTTCATTCTGCTTTTCTCGCTAGTGATTCTAAAGACTTCGATAGCATTTTTCTTCCTTGCTTAGAAAAGTACTTACATCTAACTTCACCAAATAGTTTTAACCCTTGTCACTCTAACACGCATACGGAGAAGAAAATTCTTCTAAAATTACTGTACTTATGGTTATGGCGCTTATGCTTAAAACAAAATCATAATTCTGGATCATAAAACCAAAATATACATTTAAACCATTCATTTAGTAATTTTTCCGTTCATATGGTAATGGTTTACTGGAAATTCCGGTTTTCAAAGTTACAGATCTTATTTACCATCCATTTAGTAGAAATATAAAACTGAAAACTAAACTTAACCTAAATGGTTTTAATGCCATTCTCTAAGGTATCTTGTTAAAACTATCAAATTTTCCCAAATTTTATCACACATCATTAAATAATATTTCATTGTTAATTTTATAAAATCATTAACCAAATGATTCGGTAAAAATTATCGAGCTTTATCATGTTCCCATTGAGACAAACACGGTAAATTTTCCCATATTCTGATAGTTTTAACTCTACTTTTTTTCTCAGTGCGGTAATATTGAAAAGTGTCGCTGCCACATATATTTAAATTTAACCCCTAAATCTATGAAGATTACGTACACTGTAAAAACTTTTGTTGTGTAGCTGCCACTATTTTAGTTGCCACATATATTTAGTTGAGGTAAACTAATTACATTTTTAAGTAAAAAACTGTAGTAATCATGCAAAAAGTTATATAAAATTTACACAATAACAATTGTTTGAAAGTTTGTAAACGTTTGATTACTAAAAATGTGCTTGTTTTTGTAAACGAAGCCGTAAATCGATTCTACTGCGCAAGAAAAGGTATGTTTTCAGTAAACAAACAAACGAAATTAAATAAATAAAACTATAACAGGGAAAAAGTAAATAAAAAAATGTGAGCACATGTACTGCAAAAAAATTTAATTTACCTCAACACCAAAAACGAATGCAACCATACACCAAAAAGTTTTACAGAATAGTTCACGGAAATCCGATCATTTGTTGAAAAGTTATCTAATTGCTCCGTTTCTCATTTTATGCAATGGACAAATCAGCTGTATAGAGCAGTACATTGTTCAGTAACAATGAAAATAATATTA